GCGGGTAATTAAATTAAAAGCGTGGCAGCATAGGTGATGTGACAGGTGACATAAAATAGAAAAACCCTAAAACCCCAGAAACCCTAAAACCCTGGAAACCCTAAGGAGTTATTTCGAGTTTTCAAGAATGATTAAGGGCGGGAGTCATATTTGGAAGAATATAAAAATTGATATTCTTCCAGGGGGCATTTGTTAGTAAAAGAAAAATCGATACCAAGATCGAAAAAACAAGAGAGAGAAATATCGAAGACTATATGGTTGGTTGGAAATTTGATGAAAGACAGTTAGGAAACACTCGGTAACCACAAGAAGAAAACACATATAAATCGAGAATCAAAGGAAAAATATTTGATGTCTATTGTTGAAGAAAATCGAGAAATTAGAATCTGGTGTAATGTTAAGATTAAGGGGAATCAAAATAATTCAAAACACTCGATGTCTGAAATCGAGATCGAGGGAACGGTTAACGCGCACATAGAATATGGGAAGCGGTTTCTAAACCGTGGCAGAGATCGAAGATCAAGGGAGCAGTTCTCTCATGAGAACGTGGAATGCAGTTTCCTAAACCGTGGAACTAAGGGACGTGCACGTTGGATCGTGGTGACAGTTTTATTAACTGCTTTTAGGAGGTTATTTGAAGGGTGCTCTATAAATAGAGCGAAGACTTGAGGAAGAAGGGAAAAATTGGCAGAGACAACAGAAGCGCAAGTGAACAGTCTGTAGGAGAACGACGCATCATGAAGTTTCTAATGCTCTGGATTTCCGTTTTCATTGATTATCTTTATCGCTTTCTTTACTTTTCCTGATAATTTTACTTTCATTGCAACATTACGTTTATCAACTTTAAGTTTTTGTCCTTTCAATTGCTTGTCATTTACTTTTATGCAAGTTAAAGTTATGCGTTTAAAGGTACTCGCCATTTACATTTACGCAATTTTGATTTCCTATTATTTACATTTCACGCAATTTCGATTCCTCGCCATTTACATTTACGCAATTTCGATTTCTTGCTATTTACATTTCCGCAATTTCGATTCCTTGCCATTTACACTTAATGCAAATTTGAGGTTTCTGCATTTTACATTTCTACTGCAATTTAATATTACTCTAGCTGTTTTTATTCGACGCTTTTATTGTTTTCTTTACTTCGCGTTTCTTAATAAAAAACACCAAAAAATAGTTCTTTCGATTATTAATATTTTTTAGGGTTTCATACATGTTTCGATTGAAAGCCGTTTGTTAGCCTAAATAAAAGAATCTACATGGTTGAGATTTGATTAGAACTTAAGTTTTCGATAAATCGAAATCGATCAAATTTTCACCAGAAACAATATATTAATTTTTTTACTGTATTGTGAGAAATATTTACCAGGAAAAAAAAGAAAAAAAAAGAAATTTTTATCTACTAAAATATTTTGAGAAGTACGTATAGAACCTTTCAACAAGTATTTTTTAATTCTCAACATAAAATCTACAAGGGCAACAGACGCGATGACGACATAAAGTAAAAAGAAACCTAAAAATCCTCGTAAACCCTAAAACCCCGTAAACCCTAAACCCTAAGTTTTGTGGGCCTCCAAACACCAAGGCGGGAATGTTGAAAGAATATAAACGGAAATTATTTATATTCTTTCAAGGGGGCATTTTGTTAGTGGAAAATCGAGAAACATGTGATTTATTGATAAATCGAAAAGATGGATGAGAAACCATTCGATGTTCAATTAGAAGTGCGTGGCACATAAAATCGAGAGGTAGAATCAAGAATCGAAGGAATAATAGTTAAATGTCTATTGTCGAATAAAAACCAAGAAATTAGAAGTATATGACGTTAAGGTTAAAAGGAATCGAAAGCAATTCAAAGTTCTCGAGATCTTAAAATCGAAATTGAGGGGAAGATTAACTTACGAGGATATCGAAACCTTAGCCAAATCATAAAGAGAAGAATAGTTAAACACGCAGATAGGAAGCAGCTTTTTAACCGTGGCGTAGGTCGAAGATCATGGGAACGTGGGTGCGATTTTAACACCACAGGAAAAGAAACCGCAACATGCACGAAGAACGTGGTAGCAGCTTGTTAACTCGCTCCTAAGAGACTACTTGAAAGATGATCTATAAATAGAGCAAAAGATGAAAGGAAAAGGGGGTGGAAAAATTGGCAGAGAACGTAAATACTAGTGAGAAGTCTACCGGAGAACGACGAACATCATGAAGTTTCGGCGATCTCGGATTTCCATGCTCATCGAGTACCTTTACCGCTTTCTTTATTCTCCCTGGTAATCTAATTTGATGCAATTTATCTTTAGCAACTTTAAGTTTTTGTACTTTCGATTCCTTGTCATTTCCTTTAATGAAAGTTAAGTTTCCGCATTTAAGCTTCTTGCTATTTACATTTCCGTAATCTCGATTCCTTGCTATTTACATTTTTGCGTATTTCGATTTCTCGATTTCGCCATTTACATTCTCGCTTACTCCAATTTCTTGTCATTTAATGCAAATTTGAGGTTTCGCATTTTTACCTCTTGGCAATTCAATTTTCTGTTTTGCTTTTCGATTCAACGCTTCTATTGCTTTGTTTACTTTGAACACTCTAAACATAAAATATCAAAAACAACATTTTCGATACTATGTAAATTTCGATTCTCATATGCATTTCAATTGAAAATCAATTTGCTAGCCTAAGTAAAAAAGAACTTGCGTGGTTGAATTTTGATTAGAATCAAAACCTCTTAAGAATCGAAATCGATTGAAATTCCACCGTAAACACTTATCATTCATATTTCTATTCATAGTTTACTATGTTAATTTCGTTACAACGTTGCTATGTTATTTTTCTTTTGTTGTATGTTTCTTCTAAATTCTATTTCATTCATGTTTAATTATTAATAAAAAATTTCTTTCAATTTCTCTTTTACAAATAAAATAATATATTTATTTTAAGTTTTTATTAAAATATTGAAGATTTAAATAAATACAAATTTATATTATTAATTTGGTATAAACATTATAATAATTAATTATTTAATAAAAATATTACCAATTTTACTTCTAATAATAATAATAATAGTAATAATAATAAAATTACAAATAAAATCTAAGTATTAATAATAATTTATACAATTATTTTTTTAAGAAAATAATTTTACTTTATTTTTTTTAAATCAATATTTTTATTAAATTTATGAACATAAATTTCAAATAATTAATAATAAACTTTTTAATATTATTTTTTAATAATACATTATTACTGATCATATTTTTTAATCAGAAACAGTTTTGATAATAACATTTGATATAAATTTTTATTAAATTATTTTACTAATAATAAAATTTAAATATTATTTATAATATTATATTAAATATATTAATTCATTAAATAAGTATAATTATTAAAATTATTATTTTCAATTACTTTTTAAATGTATAAAATAAAAAAATAGATAGTTTTAATAACGAGATTCAATATTAAATTTTATTACTAATAACTTATATCTATAATAATTTTTACGTATGATCTACAATATTGATTTATTAATAAATATTGTTATTATTTTTTTAAAATATTTTTCAAAAATATATAAAAAAAAACAGAAGAAAATGTCCACAATTCGAAGTCGAATTCTAGGTTTTACAGGAAAAACAGACTATTTTGTAATAAAAATGAAACGGATCCCCTGAAGAAATTATTTTTCCTATCATGGTCAAGAAATTTAATATTAAATAAAAGGTACAAAGATATCGAGTGTAAAAAATGTTACCTAACAAATATTTTGATCTGTACGTAACAAATCAGTCCACAAAATTGATGACATCAAGTGTGGAACTGTCCCTAGAAGTGTATTAATTATTATGTCTATTATCAGTGTTGAGCACTGAAAGCTTAGATAACATTCACTCTTACTGAATTTACTTCCTCCTCTTTCACAATTTCACTACTTTTTCAGTTGCAGACAAGTTGAAAAGCTTGAAAATAGGGGAAAGGAGTTGTTGGGTATTATCTAAAGATATACATGCAATCAATCCTAAGATGCTTAGTTGGGTTGGTCTATAAAGTAATTCAATGAATGCCCTAGATAGCAAACTAACATGTGAATGTAAATGTTACAAAAACTTGGCTTGGAAGTTGCAGATGATGGAAAACTCCACTGAGAATAAGCAAATTGAATTGAGAAATGGGAGAGCCCTTGTTTTTAGGGTGGGGGAAATGGCAAAGGCCAATTGAGGAATCCCAAAGTTCCCCAACAAAGGTGCACAACAAAAGGCAAAGGCCAAAGGCAAAATGAAATGATTACTTGAATGAGAGGGGACCCACCTGATAATCTTTCCTTTCCAGGTCTTTCAATTTTTTGACTTGGGATTGGGACCCACCATGGCCTCCATTGTCTTTATGGATTGAATGATAAAAAAGAGCACCTCACGTGGAGTCTGAACCAAAGAGGCTGTCCAACCACAATAAAAAGGGCAACTCCCTCCCTTCAATCAAAATTAAAAACCAAAAAATCTTTGATTTTTCCACTCACCATTTCAAAATTCAACCCAACACAAACCTACCTCTCCATACAACTGGACACACGGATTAAAAATCAAAAGAAAAACAATTTATACACCTATTCAATGGAAAAGCTAAACACAACAACAAAGCAAATTTCTTTTCTGAGAAAAATCATGCTTTTTAAAGCTCACCCATATAATTCCCACTCATTATCTTTGTTGCTTAAAGCTCATGTCCTCTCCCAGCTCCTCTTCTTATCTCTCTCTCTCTCTCTACACATCAATTCTCAAAGCAAATTCCTTCCCTTGCTCTGAAAAAGAATACAAAGAAACCTAGACACACACCCCTCCTCCAAATATAGCCCACTGATGAGAAAGACCCACCACACACACACACACACACACACATTAAACCATAAACTCACTGATCACAGTCTGTCCCATAAAAACAGCTACCATACATCACAACACAAAAAACACAAACAAAAACAACTTTAACTTCCCATGCGATCATGGAGGGAGGTGATGACTTCAACCACCACCACCACCATCACCATCACCACCACCGAAACTTCCCATTCCAACTCCTCGAGAAGAAAGAAGACCAAGACCCGTCTTCTTGCTCCACCTCATCCCCATACCCTTCCCTGGCCATCTCAGCAGAACCCTCCACTTCCAACTCAACCCGATCCAACAACAACATCAACCTCCTCCCCACACCCTCTGAACCCTCCCCCAAAAAGCCTCCTGCCAAGAGAACCTCAACCAAAGACCGCCACACCAAAGTCGATGGTCGCGGTCGTCGAATTCGAATGCCGGCTCTCTGCGCCGCCAGAGTGTTCCAACTCACGCGTGAGCTGGGACACAAGTCTGATGGCGAGACCATAGAGTGGCTCCTCCAGCAGGCGGAGCCAGCTGTCATCGCCGCCACGGGCACCGGCACCATCCCCGCTAACTTCACATCCCTTAACATATCTCTTCGGAGCTCAGGCTCCTCCATGTCTGTCCCCTCCCAGCTACGATCCAACTACTACAATTCAAACTTTTCTCTCCAACCCCGGAGAAGCCTATTCCTTGAAAACACCAATACTTCCACAACACTCCTCAATTTTCAATCCAACAACCCCATTTCCACTTCCGTGTTCCAACCCAAGCACGAATTGCGCGATTCATCATCCCTAGACTTGTCGTCGGAGAACAACGAAGAGGGTTTGGGAAGGAAAAGAAGACCCTCCGAGCAAGACCTATCTTCAGCTATGCAACACCAAGTCGGAAGCTATTTGATGCAATCAAGCACCTCAGGGACAATTCCGGCGAGCCATGCTCAAATTTCGGCGAATATATGGATGGTAGCGAATTCCAATAGCCAAGGTGTGAGTGGCGAAGCTCCTTTGTGGACATTCCCGGGTGTGAGTAAGAGTGCTTTGTATAGAGGAAACATGTCAAGTGGGTTGCATTTCATGAACTTTCCTACCCCTATGGCCCTTTTGCCTGGTCAAGAATTAGGGTCTTCTGGGATTGGTGGGAACATCAACGACGGGCATTTGAGCATGCTTTCGGGGCTTAACCCTTACCGGGCGATGATCGGCGTTTCCGAGTCTCAGGCGAGTGAGTCACATTCACATCACGGTGGAAGCGAGGATCAGCATGATGATAATTGACACAAGAGGATCAAATCCATCAACGTGTTCTCCGATTCCTACATGTGTACTAGTTTGGTGTTTTAACACAACGTGACGTGAGGTTTGGTTATTATTGCCCTACGAAATTGAGTTTTGTTTATTTTGAAAAGATCATTACTATTATTATTTTTCTTCTCTATTTCTTTTGTGTGATTAATATGTTGGAAGAGGTGGATGAATGGGTGATGGAAGAGAAGAGGGTTTTTTTAGGGTTTGAGAGAGAGAGATGACACTATTCAACAGTTGGATATTATTTGGCTTTATTTCACGACACGATATCTTATCATCATTGTTTGTGCAAGTGGCTTTTCTTTTCTTTTCTTCACTTCCTTTTTTTTTTCCGAAAGCCTTTTGATTTGTAATTTTATTCTTTCTATGTTTGGAAGAGAAAGAAAACAACTCACTTCTCCATCATAACTTGGTAAGTTCAATTAACTTCCTTCTCAATAAACAACATTCTTGTTTTTCACATTTTGCGTTTTTTCCCCTCTGTATATTCCGGGTTCCTAGTAAAAGGGATGAAACAGTTTACCAAAGGGAAAAAAAAAGCAAGAGGAGATGAAATGAAACAGTATCATTAAGCACTGTGAGAGAGTGAGGTTAGTGTGAATGTGAATGTTAAAACTGTACAATGCTTTTGGATTCTAAATCATCGCCATGAATGTGGAAGTTTAGAGAATGAGAATGGATGGTTAAGATTTTTGAGAGATGGCGGTCATAGGATGGTGGGGTCTGCAAGACCTTATTGGTTACAGGTGTTGGCTCCATGGTGGGATCCAGCTGCTGGTTATTGCCCAAACCAATGTACAATGTCACTGACTAACAGGTCGATCATTCCTCAATATCTCTTAGGTGGAAAATTGTTCTATAAAATTTTTTACTATTATAATTTACACACAATTCAGTAATTACATATAAAGTGCTCTCTTTTCTCTCTCAATAATTTTTTTTTATGTAAAACATTATATTAAAACAGACTTAGGTATAACTTTACTCACCAAATATTCTGATCTAACCATTTTGGTTATCAAGTTTTCAATTATATTTCTAAAAATGATCAAGTATAATGCACTACCTAAACACAAAATGTTTGGAGTAAATGATTTATTTAAAAGGTACTTTGACTGTAAAATAAATAACAAATGAAACGTCTTTTTATGTTAAGCAATATAATGATTTAAATATTAAATAGAGTTAAAATAGAAGAACCTAATTATAAGAACAAAAGATTGAAATTGAGTGTATAAATTTAAACAACAAAAATTAATAGACAACCCCTTCTATCCAAATAACCATACACCAACTTAATTTATTAATAAAATAATAATTTTAGTTAATTTTATTTTAATTAAATCATTTTATTAATATAATATTAATAAATAAAATTTTCTATTAAATATATTTTTAAAAGTGGACATCAACCTATACAAACAGCATTACTCATTTTTCTAGTTCTTTGTGTTAAGTTTTCTTTTTTTCCCTTTTTCATGGAGCAGTTGCTGGCATCCGAGTCTTAATAAATGATCCTCTGAGATTTGGCCCACCACTCCATCAACGAGGACCGTCCATTTGGCGGGCCATTCTTTCGATCGCCGCATTGAATGATTGGGTCTGTTGTGTCCACCAAATCCTTCTTTTTTATTTTTCCAAATGGTTTCATCTTTTGATTTAATGCTTACTTTAGAAGTGATATGCGAATTATTTTTGGAGATTTTATCCTAAAGTTACTAAATTATTTTAAAGTGAATTTGTAAAGAAGATTTACAGGTCACTTCCGAAATTAAAATTCTCGAAGAAAGTTCAATATACTACAGAATTATAATTCCATTAAGATTAACATATTCATTTTATTTAAATAAATAGTTTAGAGGGTAATTAAAAAAAGAAATGGAGCATTTCATGGAAAAAAACGACGAAGCAAAGAAAGGAAAAAGAAAGTTATATACAGAATCTAGGGTTGTATGGTCATACTCTTCCTTGTAATTATTATATAGTAATGATATAGATATTCAAATATATATATATATATATATATATATATATATATATATATATATATATATTTATTTATTTTTGATACTCTTTCAATTAATTTTTTTTATCTATTTCTTTATTTTTTTTTAGATATATGAATGGATAGAGAGATTGAGAAAAAAGAAAAAGAAAAAAAGAAAGAGAAACTAAAAATATGAGATGACAAGTAGCAGAAGTGAAATAAGAAAGTAGGTATTTGATAATAATTACTATTAGGGCACATGAATGTCCATTAACCGTTATTCTTTATAGTAGATTAATGAAATTTTATCTATTAATATTTAGCAATTCATTTTCTGTAGAACTCTTAATTTTCTAATTAAAAATAGTATTAAAATAATGTATTTTTTATTTTAATATTGTTCGTAGTGTAGCTTGTTTTTATTTAAAGAAAACGACTTAGTTTTTTTTTAATTAAATTTTCCTACACGGACATTATCTTTGACACTAATAACTAATTGTGATTTACTTCATGTATACTTTTTAAAGGAATCTTATTAAAAAAAGCATAATTTACCATGCACAAGGATCTATTACTAACGTAAAAAGAATTCTACAATTGTTTTATTCCCTTTCAAAATGTGTTTCATGTTATTGGGTGGTTGGATTTCCATAGTAAAAGTATCATATCACTGCACCAAATTAGTAAAAAATAACAATTTTGAAATGCTTTATTATTATCTGCTACAGTAAAAGATATTGTAAAGGGATCTCCCTCCGTGACTTCAGCAGTGAGAGATGGCACAAGACAAAGTGAAGAGGAATTATATTTGTACAATTACTTTATAAATTCTTTTGTCCAATGAAGAAAGAAACATATAAAATAAATAAATTAACAAAATTAATATAAATAGTTAAATTATAAAATGATAAAATGAATGATAGAATAGATGAGATGAAAATATGTTTGGAATCTATTAATATCTTTTCACTAAATAATAGGAACATGACTGAATGATGAAAATAAAGGATGACTATTTTCATGCTATGAGATAGATTTAACTAGTTAGCCGATTCAAGATATTCTCCACTGCAGCTTGTGTTCTTCACAATAGGGTTCTAGGTTTAGCTTTATATACGAAGATAATGTCAATAACAAGAGATTAAAGGCACCACCAAAATCATATGTATGCTAATTACAATAAGACTCCATGTAGTTTATTAGTTGATGAGAATGGTGAATGGAACGAGGTACCTTGGTGATGTTCCAATTATGGACACTTGAACAGTAAGGAGATAAAGACATTGCTTTAAGATGGCTCCCACCAAACGCTAGCTAGAGCTGTAAAAGGCGAATCAGGGAACAACAATTGAAGTTGCTGACTTACGTGTCTACTTTCTTGCATTGTCACTTAACAGGTGTTTGGTTCGGTGTTAAGAGACGAAGATGTTTCAAACCGTAAAAATAAAAAACTTAGATATAATTCATGTATCATTGATTGTTTGCTGCAACTCAAAAACAAACACACTCATGTAAGATACAACACGAATTTGTGGTACCACGACAAATAGGAACCGATACCAAAGAAAATTTATATGCGACAGAAAAATATTGTGTCTTGTTTTTGCTACATCTTTATCTCTTGGTAGTTTTGTTCTGAGGATGTGGTGCAACGTATGCAAGTAATGGAAATTGATGTACTGTACAGAGAATAAACTGAAGATGTAGTTCTTGTTTCAGAAAAATAGTGTAATTCATGCAGTTATAGAGGTTGAATATTTCATTGTTAAGTACTCGTTGGTTTGAGTGTGTTTTGACTGTATATCGATATTCTTTTCATTAATTATTTTAAGAAATCATCATACACTTTTTTCATAGAAATTTTAAATAAATTATGTTGGCAGGCTTATAAATTATACATATATATATATATATATATATATGTTTGTATATTGATATTTTAATTAATTGTTTTCCTCAAAATAGCTAATGAATATTAGGTAAATTTTAAAATTTTGAATAAGAAAATATTATACATATATTCTTATGAAGAAAATGATAAATGAAAAACACAATTAAAACTAATATATATGTTTAGACAATATTATACTCTAAAACTCTCTAAAACCCATCGGTTAGATTTTTAGTTTAAAAATCTAACACAAATCAAATAAAACTAAAATTATAATATATATTATTAAAATAAAAATATAAAACAATATTGTGAATTATTTTTTTATAATTTAGACTATATATTATTATTATTATTATATTAAATTGAGATAAAAAAATTAAAATTGTAAATATTATAATTAATTATATGTGATGATTTTATAATATATTTTTTGTTTAATAATTATTTTATCATAATATATTTAATGATTTTATAATAATAAAAACCAAAAAATCTTCCAAAATCAAATAAAAATATTGGTTTGAATTTTATTTTAATTAAATCAGGTTTAAATTTTATGTTTAATTGAAATGAATTTTAATATAAAATTAAATCAAATTATCCCAAAAACATTTCAACTTGTTGTAATAAAAAAAATCAATGATTTTTCTAAAGAGTGAGTTGGCAAGTCTGAGTTGCTTGCGGGTGAAGTAGGGAAGCACCGATCATGTTAGTCATATCTATAATTGGATGATTAGCTTGTTTTTGTTATCCATAAATCATTAAAAAAAAAAAAGGAAAAAGAAAAATGTGAATGTAATATTGTTTAAATTGAGAAAATGGAAGTATAATTTGTTAAAAAATAAATATCTTCAATATCTTAAACTGTAGAATCATGTAAAACTGGAAATCAAAACAGAAGAATCGGTGTAGAAATATGATATGAAGATTTAAGCTTGTAGATGGATTTTGTGAATTCATTATATTTGGCATCTTTCTCCAATGATTTGTCTGATCAGTAAGTGTTTTATTGGACATTTATTACCATTAAGACGATTAATAAGTGCAGAGCAGTGCAGCATTATATACCATCACTCATGAAGTGGAAGTGGAGAAGAATAGGTGAGGGTTGTACCCATTATTCACGTGGACTTCAATCTGACATAGTCACAGGGTTGGGGTCCCTCCACCAAATATCTTGTTCCCCATAATTTCATACCTACGTCTGGGTAGTATTTTTCTTCTTCTTCTTCTATTTAATAAATTGATGCAAATTTAATAAAATCAATTTAAATAAGGTCATGTAGAAATTTATGCCCCCAAAATAATTAATTTTAAATATTTAACATTTAATAAATATACTTTATTTGGTTATACAAATTATCTTTGTTTAATTAAAGATGTTAACATATATTACTAAATTATTTATAAATATATTGGTACAGAGTATCACTGTATAAATGTCAACGTTAAGCAATAAATATAAAAAATAGTTGAAAAATTTAGGTATACTAATTTTAATGGAGTCAATTTGAATAGCATAAAAACTTAATCCCTATAAAAAGAAATATAGCAGTTTCTGAAACACAAGCAAACGTGTGCTTAAGGAATGAGCAAATGTGCTAGAACTTATGCAGAAAAAGGGCTGCAAAGTTAACTGCTAAGAGGCAATAGATTCCAATAATTTGGCCCATAAAATTCCCTAATTCCCTGTTTGGTCCCAGAAAATCTCTTAATCGTAGCATAGTTTCTGATAAGGAAATATTGACAAATGATTGACATTGACGCACCAGCATGTGCCTCCATACTGGTATTTTGCCAACAGGTAGGGAGTTACTGGTTACAAAATCAGAAAATTAGAGATCTAGACCCACCACATCCACTCAAGATGTTGTGTGTTACAGTACTCCCTCTTGTGCATGCACTTTGTATGGATATGGGAGAGAGAAAAATTCACCAATATCGATCAATTACATTTCCATGGTTTAGGTACATTTAGAAAATGAGACATATGACTAATTAAGTGAACATAACATTTTACTTCGTTTTAAAGGTTTGAATTGCAGAAGCTGCTTTCCTCATTACATCATGCACACTGCATTTAAGCTGAAACATGTCATGGATTGATATCTCCTAGAAGACAGTATATTGGCTTGTTATATAGTTAAAATAGTGTATATTCAATAGTGAAAGGTAATTTTTATTTTATTAAATTTCAAATTGTACTTTTAAAGTTTATTGAATCACATATTTTCAGATTATTCATAAATATTTGTTCAAGATGTTTATTCAATATAGGAAGAGTTTTATGAAAGATCTGAAGTCATAAGATAAACTATGGTAAATAACTATAACAACTTCTTTTTCTTATAAGAAGAAGGGTATAAAGGCAAGTAAAGTAACTAACTTAACCGCATACATAAAAATATATACGAAATGACTACACCTGATAGATTTATTCGGGTGTGTACTCTTCGTAGCTATTAAGGAGGCAGCTGCAGCAAGTGAGCAGGTGGTAATAATCACAGTCCTCTGTATTGAAGCTAGTTACATACTCTTAAATGGTACATGTGACAACGGAGGTGTAGTCAGAGAGGTACAATAATGCAAAAAATGCAGCACACTGCCACATCTCTCACATGTTATGTTGGAGATGAGTTTAAGTGTTTGTCCTAGCTGGTAACCTGCTGCAACTAGCATGTGCATGCTAAGCTGCCCAAACAAATCAGGATTTTGGTAGGTTATGTCTCCATAAGTGGTGCAGTACACAGTTTTACTTACAGCTCCAGCTTTTGGAGGTTAAATAATGGTGGACCTTTGGGAAAACACAAAATTACATGTAGTGGTGGTAGGTGCCATATGCTATGTCTATTATCATATGCAGAAACAATTTCATCATATTATTCTTTGTCAAAAGTAATTATCCTATTGATGATTTTGAATATGCACATATTTCTATTAGACATGATTTATTTCATATATAAGATAACATTAGAACTAGAATATTTGATGAGAAGAGACAAGTAGCTACCATTTGGTGTTTATGCAAATTAATATACAAATACTGAACCATGTGATGAAAGAAAAGAAATGTGAAATTGATGAAGCTCTTGCATGACAGCCACAGGGTGAGTAAGTAAGTAGTATGCAGTTTTCTTAAGAATTAAAGTCTGTTCCCGTTTACCCTCTTTTGTCTGAAGTTCTGTTCATCTGCAAATTAAACAAGTCAACGTCTGATATGTTCCCTGTTGCTGCCGCAGACCCGTATCATTAAATATGATTTGGCTTTGGCCTGTTCGCTGCTGTGGTAGTGCCAATAATTGTTCCTCATCACAGTAAACTGCTCCAACACTCTATGAATTATAAATACGAGTAAAACAATGAAAAGGATAGCCTCTAGACAGTATTATCTTTTTGACACGTGAAGCCTTTCGGACTTAAATAATTTAGGTGTGGTAAATTGTTGTTGCTTGGGAGACACAGAATCACATCATAGCGGCATAGCAATGTGCAGTAAGTACCAGTGCTGTAAATACTTAACATTCATGAAAAAGAAATTAGGTAAATTCTGTTAAATAAAGATAGCTTCAACCATAAAAATATAAAACAGAATCATAAAATGACAAGAGAGGAGTGGTAAAGAGAAGAAGAGTTATTTCCGTATTTCCTTTTCCGAACCATACTATATTTCACTTGGTGAAGCATATCTAAGCTAGATATATACATCTACGAGAAATAACAACTCATCATTATACTTATATTTCTTCTCACAAAATATCGTGTATCCACTTTATTAATACAAATTTGTCAAAAATCAGGATATATCCATGACTAACAAATATTATGGACAACATTACACACCCATCAAATACTTCAACCCTTTTCATGATTGTCTTGGATCAATATCATCATAGACAACATCACCTATTTATACTTCATTCACAAACTTGGAAGTAAGTTATAAATAAAGAACAAAATAGATAATGAAATATGATTAATACTTAAATTACCAAATAGATTCATTTCATCTATAACTAAGTTTAAGATTTTTTTACTCATCTCTAAATTGGAGAAAATAATTATCAAAATCATTCCATTGTATAAAGTCAGATGGATGTCAAATTAATCAATCATATATCTTCTCATTTGGATGTCATCTAAGGTTTTTAGCGTTATTAGAATTTGCAAACAAACGCTTAAATCTTAGAATGATTAGAAGATGACAAATGGACCTGATAAGAAGTCTTTGAATTGTCATGTTATCATTATTATCTTGATTATTATCATTCACTTTATAACGAGATAACATACAAATATAACATTTTTCTAGTTCTTTAAACTCATTTTAATACAACATACAATTATTAGTAGTGGCGAATCTTCTTGGAGCTGAGGGTCGTGACCCTCCAAAATTTTGTAACTCTCATGTAATTTATGATTTTGACCCCTCAAATATAATGAACATTTAATATATTTACTTGTATATTTACAATTTTATCCTCTCAGTCTATCCTCAGTTTTGTAACTCTCATATAATTTATGATTTTGTTTCCCTCAAATTTAATGATCATTTAATATATTTAAGTATATATCTATAATTTTATCTTTTCACCATTTCATCTTCTTTCTTCCTTTTATGTTTATTAATAATATATTATTTGACCCCCAAGATCAATGGTCAAGATCTGCATCGATTATTAGGGCATGCATCTATTTTATACTCCATACCCATTAGACAATATCTTCTTCGTTTTATAATTACGATTAACTAATGTATTTTTTTCTGGAAGTATATTATTCAACAACAACTATAGTAATTTTTTGAAACTTTTATCAGTATACTCGTTAATTACCTTCAAATTCACCAATCTTAATACTGTTGACAATCGGGTGAAGTTAGTTGAACCACAATAAAGCAAAGTCTTTGTATCACTACACATATCTTCATATAAACACGCTAGAGTAAAAGATTTTACTACAACATCACGAATAATGTATTCCAATCAATCATCCATGGTTAAATCAACTAAATTATCAAATTCATTTACAATTAACAAATCTAATAACTCTCCATGTCATGTCCAAGTCATAATTTGTAAGAAAACTATCACATAAAAGATACCCCTTAATTTGATCAACACTTAGTATTCTTCCATTCAAACAATTAACATATGGACATCTAAAATCTTCCACCATCAAAGCTATTACAAATGTTACATTATCTAAATAGTAAACAAAAATTCACTCATTTCTCATACTAATCAATTATGTGTGCACAATTAATTCAGTTTCAATCCCCAATTTTCTAAATTTTTTGCAACTAACATCTAAAATATAGACATTCAAAAATTATAAATATAATTTGTGGAGGATCGCACATCCCAGACTCAATAGAAACTCGTTCAACAATACAAAATCACTATAATTATACTCTAATACCTAAACTCAATAGAAATTCATTCAACAGTTTAAAATCACAACAAAATATGAGGAAGAACAATGGGAATTATTGTCAATTCCGCTACAACAATCACCACTTTCCAAAACAATCATGAATAACAGTGTCTAGTCTAGCATCTAAATCTTAAACCACCACCATTGACTAATCCAGCACCTCCAACACTGTCCACCACCACCACCACTATCTAACACGCACATGGAGGAAGGAAGGAGAAGAAGAAGCAAGCACGGAAGAAGAACACCACCAATCATCAACCACCACGAACAACAACAACCACCAACCACCATGAGCACCACCCCAACAAGACGATGAGGATAAAGGAGAGGGATGAGTGGAGTAAGGAGGGAGAGCAACTATTTAGGGCATTGCAATGACATAGTGAGCAAAGAGAAGTTAAGAAACCAATGAAAACGAGAAAAAAGGGGGAAGCTAAATAAGATAATAAACATATGATAATGATTATTTATATAACTATCATTATATGTCACATACGTTGATAAATGTTAAATAATCATCATTAAAATATTAACTTTTATTTTAAAAATGTCATCACATTGCTTTTAATGATGGTTCCAATATAATTGTCAGAAAAAAAATTATACATACGAGTAAACTGTTGTGGTAGTGCCAATAATTGTTCCTCATCACAGTAAAATGCTCCAACACTATGAATTATACATACGAGTAAAACAATGAAAAGGATAACCTTTAGACAATATTATCTTTTTGACATGTGAAACCTTTCGGTCTTAAATAATTTAGGTGTGGTAAATTGTTGTTGCTTGGGAGACACAGAATCACACCATAGGGGCATAGCAATATGCAATAAGTACCAGTGTTGTAAATACTTGACATTCATGAAAAAGAAATTAGGTAAATTATGTTAAATAAAGATAGCTTCAACCATAAAAATATAAAACAGAATCATAAAATGACAAGAGAGGAGTGGTAAAGAGAACAAGAGTTATTTCCATATTTGCTTCCGAACCATACTATATTTCACTTGGTGAAGCATATCTAAGGCGAGATATATAGATATACGAGAAATAACAACTCATCATTATACTTATATTTCTTCTCACAAAATATTGTGTATCCATTGTATTTAAAATACAAATTTGTCAAAAATCAGGATATATCCATGACTAACAAATATTATGGACAACACTACAAACCCATCAAATACTTCAACCCTTTGCATGATTATCTTGGATATGATATTTTCATAGACAACATCACGTATTTATATTTCATTCACAAACTTGAAAGTAAGTTATAAATAAAGAACAAAATAGATAATAAATTATGATTAATACTTAAATTACCAAATAGATTCATTTCATCT